AGAATCGCTGTGGAGGAGAATGACGCTGTCGTAGTCTAACGTAAATAGGCCATTGAGCATGACGATCACAACATTTTACGCCTGAAATGAGTTCGAAAATCTTCGACAGTATGTGTAAGAACCATTTGCATGACACAGGTCTGCTGCTACCAAGGAAGTTCCCATGCTTTCGGTGGAGCGCTTCCAGAAATAACGACACAGTACTGCAATTACTTGATAGTGTTTTTATCAAATAGGATTATGATTTTAAGATTTTAATATATTAAGATAAGATTTTAATACGCGCATAAGATTTCAATGCAAGCTGATGAATATCTAGTACGACACAATACATGCAGTGATGGCTCCAGAACAGGGCGTGTGTGCAGCTGAACATGGCAGAACTCGAAACGTACAGCAACAGGTTATCCGGGCGAGGGACGTAATCTAGCGAAGATGCGGTAGCACGAACTGGAAGAAAGATATCTACCGCATGAAAGAGTGAAAGACGGTATGTGAAAAGATGCTTTAACGCTAGGAGCACATAAGTCGGCATCATTTGTGCACAAAAATTTACGTTGGATAGTCACGCACGGAAGAAATCCAAATCTACCGGCAGGCTTGTACACCGGGGGTTAGATGAACTGCAGCAAAAAAGTTTCCCGGCGAAGCATGAAGACATGTACACCGTTCGGCTCCTACCAGTGTCTAAGCGTATGTCGCTCAAGAAAGTGCAGAAAGCTGATCAGATACAAATGCGCAATTCGTAAGCATCTACGCTAAACAATAGGAAAGTCTGTCAATGCTAGGAAGTCAGTCGCTTGTAAACATCCAAGGTTGTTTTTTCATGCAGTTGCGGTGAGGTTGTGAATATCTTGATGCCATCATCTGCCCCTGCCCAATAAATACGGTAAATTTATAATAGCGGTTGAAAAAAAACGCCGTATCACGACACAAACAGATAGTCGCGATGTTGCTTTGGAAAGTCGCGGAAAAGCGCAGGGAAAAATAAGCTTTGAGCCACAAAAGCTGGAATTAACGTTTTATCCGATAACTAGAAAAGTTATTTAAATCAATTTAAATGAATTCAATAACGTGAATGTTGAAAACACTAAGTATGCATCAGAATAATAAGCTACTAAAACCGTAAAGCACGGACCTTTGAGTGGTTAGGTAAGTAAGTGAGAGCGTTCAAGTGGTAGTGGCGACGAAAGTAAAACGACTGTCTAAAGCAGCGTGTTTCAATCAATATCGCGTATGCTCCACGGCTGCACGTCATTTACCTGTCTTGTAAGAAACATATGAACTCTGTACGTCATACCACAACAGCAGCATGGAAATATGAAAATGGTAGACTTCTATTGTACAAGATGCGACAGAGGTGCAAATGATTACACTAATCTCCACGAATGATTAACGGCCCGTCGCTGATATGACGTCCGATTCAAATGGTCATCACTGACAAAGGCTGCTCTTTTGGAGTGATACACAAATATGTACACAAAACGGTAACCAACGTTTGACTCCTCCGACAACCAGACAACACGGTATCGACCATCGTCCACTTGCTGTCAGTCATTTAGGCCGGTAACTTAAGTAGGACAGACAACGTTTTGTGGTACCTGAGTACCAGTGATGCTAGACGCATGTCGCATCGCCAAAACAGTACGATCAAATGAACGATGTTTCAGCAGCTGATACGTCTTCTCACGTATTAGGACATTAACATGCAAGCAAATATGACTTGGTACATCGGCTTTCACCGAGAATTACACCACCCCACTATTCGGGAGTCAGTTAAACCGGTAACTTCTCAGGTTAGCAAGTACGCATACCGTATTGTGATACCTTTTGCCGTTTGAACGGGACGAAGACACTCGTGGACAAGAACCAAGTATAAAAGAGAAAACTAAAACGTCGCATAGCATTTCCATGATCAGCGCTTGCTGTTTTTTTTTATATCAAGGTTTTCGTGAGGAACGAAATGAGGGCTGCAAGACTTGAAGCCATATTTAAATAGGTAGGATTACGTTTCGGTGGACAAGCACAGGAGACGTTGGTGAGCAGATGCGAGTCGTGTCACGAATGTGCATTTAACATCCACGACGTTCACCGAAAATACCTTAAGGATAACGGACCGGATGGCAGGTCGAAACGGAACATCGTTGCAAGCTGAATGATGACGACAATTGATCATGACAGCCAAAGCACAAACTACAGAACAAACAGATTTGCTTGCAAGCTCCGGTACTGCTGACAGTTTCCTGCCAAGTAAGAATCTATACAGTAATATGTGAAGAATAGGTTTGCGAAAAATGAGGCAACACAACGGAATATATGTAACTAATCTTGCCTGAGAAGGGTAACGACTACCGACCGATTTGAATGACGTTTTCGCAACGAAAAAAATAACCCGTAGCGCTAGTTCGAGGGCGGCAAAGCCGGCTCGGCGGCACAGCCAGAATATATGCTTCCTGTCGAATAAGGAGAAAGGATCAAAGGGCAAACATAAACGAAAGATCAAGCACCAAAAGCTTTTCAGGAAAGGTTTTTCTGTTATGCCAACA